GGCCCCCCCGGCCCGCAGAGGATGTACAAGCAGTCGATGGCCCAGCGCGCCCGCACCATGGCCCTCTACAACCCCATCCCCGTGCGCCAGAACTGCCTCACCGTCAACCGCTCGCTCTTCCTCTTCGGCGAGGACAACGTGGTGAGGAAGTACGCCAAGAAGATCACCGAGTGGCCATATCCTTCGCCGCGGGACCCCGGCCCCCCGCTCGCTCCCCAGACCCTCCGCTTGGACCCCAGTCCCTCTGCTTGCTCCCTGTCCCCCCTGTTTGCTCCTCATCCTCTCCGCTGGCTCCCCATCCCCTCCGCTGGCTCCTCATCCCCTCCACTCGCTCCCCGGACCCCCTGTCTGCTGCCCAGACCCTCAGCTTGCTCCTTGTCCCCCCCGTTTGCTCCTCATCCTCTCCACTTGCTCCCCATTCTCTTCATTTGCTCCCTGTCCCCTCCATTTGCTCCTCATCCTCTCTTTTTGCTCCTCAYGCCCTCCATCTGGTCCCTGTCCCATCCATGTGGTCCCCATCCCCTTTGCTTGGTCCTTGTCCTCTCTGCTTGCTCCCCATCCCCTCCATTTGCTCCCCGTCCCCTCCGTTTGCTCCCTGTCCCCGTCGCTGCTCCGGGATGCGGGTGGCTCCAAGCGACAGGGGCTGCGGGGGGTCCCCCCCCGTGTGTCCCCCCCTCTGTCTTTTTTTGGGGGGTCTTYRTGCCCGTGGGAGCGTCAGGGGCATCGTGACCCCGTTCTGCTCTGCGTCCCCATCCCATTCCAGGGGTGCCTGTTCCCATGGGAAGCCACCTGGGATTGGGGTGTCCCTGGCTTCATGCGGCCGCCGTGACCCCGTTCCGGGCTGCGTCCCCGTGTCCCCAGTCTGCTCCCATAAGGGGCTGGCCGGGATTGGGGTGTCCCCATCCTGCCGAAGCTGCCGTGACCCCATTCCGGGCTGCGTCCCCATGTCCCCAATCCGCTCCCGGGGCGCCTGTTTCCATAGGGGTTCCAGTTTCCAGCTGGGAATGGGATGTGTCTTGCTTCTTGGGGCCAGCGTGGTCCCATTCCAGGATGTGCGCCATTCCTGGGGTGCCATGGGGAGCAGGACAGGATCGGGGGGTCCCTGGTCGCACTGAGGCCGCTGTGACCCCATTCCAAGCYGCATTCCCATGTCCCGCTCCTGCTCCCAGCTTACCCATTGCCATAGGGATCCGGCTGGGATCGAGGTGTCCCTGGCTACTGTGACCCCATTCCAGGCCGCATTCCCATGTCCCGCTCCTGCTCCCCGCTTACCCATTCCCATAGGGAGCCATGTGGGATCAGGGTGTCCCTGGCCGCTGTGACCCCATTCCAGACTGCATTGCTGTGCCCTGGTCCCATTCCCGGTGTGTCCATTGCCATAGGGAGCCGGCCAGGATCGGGGTGTCCMCRACCTCATAGGGCCRCTGTGACCCCATTCCAGGCTGCATCCCTGCATCCCCCTCCCACTCCTGGCTTGCCCATTCCCATAGGGAGCCATCGGGGGGTCCTAAGGCCACCGAGACCCCATTCCAGGCTGTGTTCCGGGGTTCCCATCCTGTTCCCGGGGTGCCTGTTCGTACAGGGAGGTGACTGGGATCAGGGTGTCCCTGGCTTTGTGGGGCCACCGTGACCCCATTCCGGGCCGCATTCCCATATCCTGCTCCTTCTCCCAGCTGCCCATTCCCATAGGGTACCCGTTGGGATTGGGGTGTCCCTGGCTCCGCTGAGAACACCGTGACCCCATTCCAGGCTGCATTCCCGTATCCTGCTCCTTCTCCCGGCTTCCCATTCCCATAGGGTACCCGTTGGGATTGGGGTGT